TATTTTGTACCTATTAGAAAAAAATAAATATAATTTAATAATTTTTTAAAAAATAATTTAAAAAACATTAGATTATTTTTTTTTGCAAATTTTATAAAAAAAAACACCTATGATTTGCTCATTGAGTTGTAATTTTCGAATATTAATAATTCTCTCATGTCCTATAATTGGACATAATATATCTACATCAAATCCTAAGAATAATCAACATCCATCCACACCTTTGTTATCAACCATTTGGCAATTACTGCCTATTCATAATTTGTTGACAAATCCAAACATGCTCTTGCTATGTGGTCCTCTTCATTATCAAATTAATTATAAATTTTAATATTTATAATTATAAAATTAATAGTTATTATTATTTTTTAAATTAATAGCATTATAATATGAATGTAAACGAGTCAAGTCGAGTTGACTTCTTATTTAATTGAGCCAAGCTGTTTAATTTATACTGGGTTCGAGCTCATTTGTTGAGTCAAGCTTAGCTTAACGAAAAATATGAGGCTGGAGCTCGATAAGAAATCTTGAAATTCACACGTTTTAGAGCTTGATTAATCGAGCTGGCTGGGTTAGACCAAATCCAAGATCGAACTCGAGCTCATACTCATACTTGTGACATAATACGACTCGCGAATTCATTAACGAGTCGAGTTCGAATTGATTGGACTTCATGAGCCCCTATAAGATAATATCCTAATAGAAATATCATAGGCATTTAAAACAGCTCACATGGTGACCCCACCTATATCCAGATAAAACGAACCTACATCAATTATTGAATGAGAGGGAAAATAAATTTAATTGAAAATCTCTCACGAGGAAAATAATAAATAATAATATTACTGCTTTATTATAAATAATTTTTGAAGCCATGTTAATAACTTAATTAATATACTCTTATACGACGAATACCAAAGGAGAACGTGAGAATGAATCACCGACCGGTAAGACTCACCCCCCGGCGGAGGAGGCGTCAGCAGGACCTCCTCCAGCTCCACCACCGCCTCTAAGAATGCTTGTGAGAGACGATGAAGAAGATGTCGAAGAGAAGTTGAGGCCATTGATGGCGTTGTAGTCGGAGACGCTATCTTGGAGGCTGAGTAGTAGTTGGTGGTTAGAGCTCAAACTCATCGACGGCTTTGCCGCTGGCACATGCGGCGGTTCCGCCTCATCGCCGAGCATCTGCACCACACTTCGCATTCCAGGACGCCTCGCCGGATCAGGACTTGAACACCCTAATCCCACGAGCAAAGCCCTTCTCATCTCCCTCTCCTCGAACTCTCCCTCCATTCGCGGATCAACCGCTTCCAGCAATCTCCCCTCTCCGTGAAGCCCCCAAACCCATTCGACCAGGCTGCCCCGCCGACGGTCGTCGATGGGGCGACGGCCGGAGGCGACCTCGAGAACGAGGGCGCCGAAGCTGTAGACATCGGTTTTATCAGAGGCGCGACCGGTGAGGAGGTATTCCGGAGCAAGGTAGCCCATTGTGCCGGCGGTAACGGTGGCATCGGGAGAGCGGTCGTGGTCTACCTGCCGAGCGAGGCCGAAGTCGCCGAGCCGGGGGTGGAAGTCCTCGTCGAGCATCACATTGCTCGACTTCACGTCTCGGTGGATCACCTGCCGCTCGCATTCGTGGTGGAGGTATGCTAAGGCGGAGGCCACGCCCGCGAGGATCTTCCGCCGGTGCCTCCAAGAGAGCGCCGGCATGGAGGGATCGAACAGCGCTTTGTCGAGGCTACCGTGTCGCATGTAGTCGTATACTAGCAAAATCTCTCCTTTTTGCTGGCACCATCCCTGGAGCCGGACGAGGTTCCGGTGTCTTAGGCTTGCGATGATCGATAGTTCTGATAAGAACTCCGACCTCCCCTGTGAGGCGCAATGGTCGCCGCCTCCACTGCCGCCGTTGATGCAACGCTTTACGGCCACCATTGCGCCTGTTTCTGGAATGATGCCCTTGTAGACCGTGCCGAACGCACCGTGGCCAATGATTCGGCAGGAGTTGAAGCCGCGGGTAGCGGTGACGAGCTCGCGATAGCTGAATTCACGGGGGGATTTTACTATCTCCGCCGCCGCAACCAAGGCGTCCCATTTTTTGACTGATTTGGTTCTTCGGGTGAAGGCCCAGAAGCCTAGCGCGGCACAGGCGGCGATGAAGAAAGCGCCGGCGGTAGCGACGCCGACCACGGCGGCGGGACCCTGGCGGCATAGGCTGTTGTTGCGGCAGGACGAAGAGGATGGGGGTTTAATGCTTCCGTTGCTCTTGCTCGGGCCCTCGGCTACAGAAATAGGAACGGCCGGAGCCACGGCGGCTGGAGGAGGCGGGCCCAAATTTTTGGTAAAAACAGGGGAGGACTGTCGCGGCGGCGAAGCAGTGGAAGCCGTGGGTGGAGAGGAAGGAGGGGAGGAGAAGCTCCACCATTCAATGCTGTGGATCTCTGTGCTCCCCTGGGTCGAGCCGGAGAATCCCACGAACATAAACTCATCGACAAACTGCGCGAGGTTGACGGGAAAGTCCAGAACTGGATTCAACGGTTTAACGGTGGAGTATGAAACGAATACTTGGAGAACCCCTGGATAATCGTATTCAATCCATGCATTTATGAGCTTGCCGCTCTTCAGATTAATGACGGCGGAATCGAGATCGGCAACCTGAGCGGACACCATGCTTTCGAGATCCACTCCGACATGGTTATCGTTGATGTCCTCGAACTCCATATCCATTAGCGTGTCGAATTCCACGGCGACGACGGCGGGACCAGCAGCGGAAGGGCTAATGAGACCGAGAAACCCGCCAGGTTCGCCGAGAGCGCGGTCGTCGGCGGTGACAAGAAAGGCGAGGCCACCGCCGATAGAAGAGGGATTCAGGTTGACGACGGAGAAGGAGAAGTAGGTGGAGAAAGGGAGCACGGCACCGGTCGTCTGGTGGCGGAAGCGCACGGGATCCGCGAAAAGCGCCCGTCCGGCGCCGGAATTCGGGACGGGGAGATCTCGCGATAGCCGTATGCTGCCGTTCTTGAGGTGCGCGTCGCCGAGGAGCTTGAGGCTTCCCAGAGTCAGAGTGGAGAAGTCAAACCTGACCGCCTCCGTCCGGTGTGTCCAAACCAGGATCGTAAAGAAGAGATCAAGAATGGTAATGAAGCACCGAAGCAAGCGCCGTCTTTCATCCTTCCCCGGCGGCATTGCTAGGTAATCAGACTATCCATTACAATTTAGAAGATTCCAAGTAGTAATTAAGCGAGGAGGAGAGGAGAGACAGGGCCCCAAGGAAGGAAATATTCTAGCCGTTGAAGATAAGCCAATGGATGAGAGGAGAATACTTAGAGCGTCAAGGTTGGTGAAGTGGAGAGCTGGAGTGGAACTTTTCTAATTTTTTTTTTTAAATTTTTTTTTGCTGCTTGGTCGGAAAGGTAAATAAGGAGGAGAGAAAAGGGAGTGGAAGAAGAAGAAGAAGAAGAAGTGGAATCCAAAGCTGAGCGATGGGTACAGATGGAGGGATGAGAGCCACGTGTCATCTCCAACGGTAAATTGTGATTAGTCCGGGGTTCTTTGACTAATTGGTCACGAAGAGCCGTTGTAGCTTCTGTAAAAAAAGAATCTTTCATTGAATGGAAATTGGCTGCTTGGTGGAAATCAATAAAAAAAAATTCAGTGCTGAAAAAAAGGTTAATAAAAAAAAAAATAGTCCTTGTGAATGATAATTGGAGGAATTGCTTTATTAACTCCTTCTGTTCCATTCAAACTCCTTCCTATTCAGATCATAGTCCTGTTATTCTTCACCCAGGGAATTCTTATCAAGTTTCTCACCGATTTCTTTTCAAAAATTATTGAACTAAGATTGATTCTTATTGGTATGCTCTTTTAGAGGTCTTCTCTAGGCCTTGTGCTGGAAATCTACTGTCTCACCTCTGTCATACTCTTAAGTTGCTTAAGAGTGGTATCAAAAAGGAAAGTTGGGCTTCTTCTTGTTCTGTCACTAGACATCTTGATTATCTCCTAAATAATCAAAGACTTTTACTGGATCAATTACAACTAGATCACCTCAATGTGGATCTTAATTTGGCTTACAAAAACTGCAATTCTGAGCTTGCTAATTTCAGTAATCTACATGCCTCTTGGATTATTCAGCGTGCAAAGGTTAATTGGCTAAAGTTTGGAGAAGACGACCTCAAAATTAGGAGTCGTATGGGGGGGAAAAAATCTGTTTTCAATTTACTTTCTTGTAATCCCTCGGCCAATAGACCTGAAGTTGTCAATACCATAATTCAATATTTCCAAGAATTATATAATCCACATCGTATTAATGCTTTGAATACGATGGATTGTGCTATTGGGGATGTTCTGCCGGATTATTATCATGCTTCTCTTATCAATCCGATTGAGGATGAAGAAATAAAGGTTGCGGTTTTCTTGGGTAATTCCAATTCAGCTCCTGGTCCCGACGGTTTCAATTCACACTTCTATAAATCTAGTTGGCATATTATTGGTCCGGTGGTTTGTAGAGCTATTAAGTCATTCTTCATAAAATGCTACATGCCTAATGGAGTGAAAGCAACGGCTCTGGCTATCATTCCTAAGCACTCGAATGCTGTCAACATATCTGATTATAGACCAATTGATTTGTGTAATGTGGTTTATAAAATTATTGCTAAGATTATTGCAGTTAGGCTAAAACCGACTATGAGCATTATTGTTAAGGATAATCAAGCTGGCTTTCTAAAATCAAGAGTCTCCACTGATAATATATTACTAGCTTCTGACATTTTGTATCACGTGGGGAAAAGAGGAAAGGAATTTTTTTTTTGTGCTAAACTAGATATTAAAAAAGCCTTTGATTCTGTTTCTAGGGAATTTTTAATTTCTAGACTTATTCAGAAAAACTTTCCTAATCGTTTTATCAGTTGGGTTAAAGCATGCATATGTGATGTCAACTTCTCCATCCTCTTATCTGGTGCTCTTGAAGGTTACTTCCCTTCTGCTGCAGGTCTTAGGCAAGGGTGTCCCATTAGTCCTTACCTATTCTATTTGGTTATGGACGCATTCTCAAATCTTTTAGAGGAGAGAGGTTTCAAGGGAATTTCTTGCAATAACTTCTCTATCACCCACTTGCTTTATGCTGATGACGTTCTCATTTTTGGTGAAGCTACTCTTCAAAACTGCAATTTGTTGGTTTCTATTCTCAGTGATTTTGCTAGTATTTCTGGTCTCCATGTCAACTACGATAAGAGTACTGCTGTTATGTTTCCTAAACATTTGACAAATCATAATATGATCTGTCAGGCTTTATCCATCTACAATATTACTAGTAAAATCACTTACTTGGGGATCCCTCTTTCTTTTCATAGACTCAAAATCGAAGACTTCTTGACTTTAGTGGACTCTCTCAATAAAAAGTTCAGTGGTTGGAAGGCTCATCTTCTTTCCCTTGCTGGTAGGTTACAATACCTGAAGTTCACAATCCAGAATACCATTGCTTACTGGATAAGGGGGGCCATTTTGCCTAAGTCTATGCATAAATTTTTCAAGCAAACTTGTTCCAGGTTCTTATTCTTTGGAGATATTAATAATAACAAAAAGCTGCATATGATAGCCTGGGATAGAATTTGCTTGCCTTTCTCTAAAGGTGGTTTGGGTATTTCTTCTATTTCTGCTCTGCAATTCTCTTTTAATTGCTCTGTGATAATCCGTATGTACAACTGCTCAACTCCTTTATCTTCTTGGCTATTAAACAAGTATACTTCTCCATGGAAACCATTTCCGGCAAGTGCTTCTATTTTCTGGAAATCTATATGCTCTACTGCTTATAGGGCAAAAAATTGTTTCAAATTTAAAATTACAAACTCTGCCCCTATTTCATTAAAATGGGATCATTGGTATGATAATAGCATTTTGTTTGATTCTATAGCTGGTATGCATTTGGCTGTTGTTCCTGACATCGCTATTAATAGCATTCTTTCTGATTCTGTTTGGGTGTTACCTGACTCTTTCCCTCTCTGTCTGAGGGAGATTCTCACGGGTATATCTGATATTGTTGGTGAAGGACCCTGTTTGTCTTGGTTGGGCAAGAAAAAATGCAACTTCAAAAATTTTAAGGAAGAATTTTATTCGGATAGACTTATTCAGAAAAACTTTCCTAATCGTTTTGTCAGTTGGGTTAAAGCATGCATATGTGATGTCAACTTCTCCATCCTCTTATCTGGTGCTCTTGAAGGTTACTTCCCTTCTGCTGCAGGTCTTAGGCAAGGGTTAAAACTGCTGATGCCCTTAGGATTAGGAATATTCATGTTCAGAGTATATGTTCTTTATGCCATAATCATGAGGAAACTGTCTCTCATCTATTCTTTGAATGCCATTTCTCCTTCACTATTCTGTATAGTATTATACCTGGGATGCATTCCTTCCTCCTCCGCCCAAACCTTATGCAGGTATTTGATTGGATTTTTGTTAAGTTTAGCTGTGATGCTGAGATTTTAAACTTTTATAAAGTTGTTATATCATCTGTTATTTACTATGTTTGGAAAGAAAGGAATGCTAGGATTTTTGGGAACAAGATTCAAAGCATAAATACGTTACTTCTTTGCATCAAAAGAGCTTTGGCTGAGAAAATTTTAACTTGGGATAAGGCATTCAGGTTTCTGGATAGATTATAGGTGGGTATTTTGCAATACTTTGATGCTGATTCGTGCTGTCCATTCGAGTATCTCTGCAGATTGCCCACCTGGACAATGATGAGTCTCCCCGTTCACGCTATTGGATGGTCCATCTTTTGGGCAACCAGGGTAGTGAAAGTTTTGCATTCTGTTATCTCTATTTCTGAGTCCAGGGATCTATGGGCACGGGAGATTTTTATTTTGGTTATGCTGGAGCTTTGGTAAGCTGTTTCGGATGCTATCTGGACGCTGACCTGTTCTGCTTTGCTGTTGCTGCTACTGGATCAAGCTGCTTTTTGGATTACATGAATTGCTGCAGGTATTTTCACTGTGGCTGGAGTGTTCTTATAGGTTTCATTTTTGCTGCTGCTGGAGCTTTGATATGCTGTTTCGGATGCATTATTGGACGTTGTGCTGCTCTACTTTGCTGTTGCTGCTACTGGATCTAGCTGGTATTTGGACTACATGAATTGCTGCATATGTTTTCTCTGAGGCTGGAGTGTTCTTATAGGTTTCAATTTTGCTGCTGGCAGTCTTGCAGTGGGTTCCCTTGTTGGTTTTTTATTACCTTACTACCACTGTTTTTGGTTCTTTTTACAGATTATATTAGTAGTCTTGGGTGGTATAGTTGGGGTTTTTTACATTTTGATCCACATAAGATTTTGTTTTTGTGCTTATATTGGATAGTTTTTATTTGTAATTTTTTTTACCTGTAATCTTTCATTTTCTTAATATATGGGCTTAGGTCCCAAATTTTTCAAAAAAAAAAAAAGTTTGTTGATGGAAAAAAAAATGAAAAGAACCTGCAACTTGTTGCTTCTGTTCGAGGAGTACGATGGTAAAAGCCCGCCGTGTTCTGCTCGGCCCGTGAGCGGGCAGAGCGGCGGTCGGTCCGAGGCTTGGCTCGACGCAGGATCGCTTTGCACGAACCGGTTGAGCGGATCTTCTTCTCTTAAGGCTGCGGCTCCTTTTGGTTTCGGCCTCTTTTTTTTTCTTTTGTGAAACAGTTAAATGTCCGCCTTGGACTGTAGCAAGGAGACAGGCTTAGGAACAAATTTTCTCTTGAGAAAATTTTTATATGAAAATATTTTGATAGACAGCTCTCCTTAGTTTATTGGTTGAGAGATTAGGCTTTCAACTAAAAGGTCTAGGGTTCGAGTCTATGTGTATGCGTTGTGTGTGAGTTTGTCTTAAATGATCTAAATGTCCAAAAAAAAATATTTTGATAGCGATACATATGTCAGGGCTCGAGCGCTAGAGAGATTATTTTGTACGGCATTCGAACACATCCGGAGGTTAATTCCGACGTTGCAAAATGATGCATGCCAGCATTTGTGCCTAACTCTTTGTGATCTTTTTCTATTTTGTTTTCTTATACTTCTCTTCCTAACCTTCTCTGCAATAATTTTTCATCAGTGAAGGCTCTCAATATTCCAAAAATAGAAATGTATCAGTAGTATTAGAACCAGAAATACAAAAGCGTCAAAAATAATTTTTGGTTTTATATTTGTATTGAGGATGATGTGTAAATTTGTAATTGGCTCCCTATACTCAGACCGTACTTTTCAGGTCTATATATATGGACCAATAGCTACCATATAGAGACAATAATATACATTCTCTTTATTGCTTTTTCTGAGAAATACTTTATATTCTTGATCCATTGGTTTCTTCATGGTATCAATAGTAGGTTAGCATCCTGGTCATGGCTCATTCCACCTCCTCCCAGACGGAAGCTCGTTTCTCTTCATCAATGGCAGAGGCCGTTGAAACAATCATCCCCTCCAATCTGAAGTTTCTTGTATCAAACATCAAGAACGTTGTCACGATCCCTCTCGCCGCCGACAACTCTCTTTGGCGGTCACAAGTTCTTAAGATCGTCGGTGCCAATGGCTTCAAAAGCTTCCTTGATTCTACCTCCGGTCCTCCACCGCCGATGGTACCAAACGAAGACGGGTCGTCTTCCAGAGCCTTACACAGGGTTTTG